CTAACATGGCATAAGTCAGAACTCACATGCCATAAATATGAATGTAAACAATTTGCTCTCCATCTACTACCATCTCACTGTCAAAATATGAATGTAAACATTGTGAAATATCCCTCTTTGTACTCTCCGACATTTGCCTATTTGTAAAATAATTTAATAAGACAGATATATTTTCACCAAAAAAAAAGACAGATATATAATTAATGGTTGTAATATGTTAAATCTTCTCACAACTTACAATTGCAATCCAGTCTAATCTAGTCTAATCCGAACCAAAACAATCTCTAATCGCCGATGCTCGATGCTCCATCCATCGGCGTTATCAGATCTGGATCCAAATCTTGATCGGAGCTCCGACAGGTTCGAATCGATGACGGAGATCGATCGGAGGCTCGCTTGTGAGCAGATTTTGCGAGGTTTTGTTCTCTTGATCAGATTTGGCATCCGTTTTCTTTTATATTTGTTATTTGTCGCTATCCTCGAGAGGCGAGGGAGGGGGGAGGAAGGCGCCAGAGAGGTAGATGATCTCGAAGTTGCCGTCGAAGGAGAGGACGGAGCCGGAGGGCAGGAGGAGGGAGATGGAGGTGACAAGGCCGAGGCCGCTGAGGAGGGAGAAGTCGCGACGATGACGGAGGGTGAGGGAGGAGATGGAGGAGGGGAGGTTGGAGCCGGGGGTGGAGGAATGGAGGGCGGTTAGGGCGTCGTTGAGGATCTGGCGGAGGTCATCGTCGTTGAGGATTCGGAAGGAGGAAGAAGAATGAAAGGGATAGAGGGGTGACCAGAGCGAGAATGGAAGGGGATGAGGAATCAGGTTTCTTTGTACGGAAAGAGAAAGGGGTGTTTTCCATTGTAATCGGGGTTTTTTGAGCGGAATTTTTTTGGGAGAGGAATCTAATGTGGCACCCCAACTTGTCTTCACTTTCCTTTTAATTTTTTGCAAACCAAACATATGATTGTGGGGAAAACAGTGTCAGTTTTCTGATGGGTCACTTTCTGCCCATTTCTGCATTTTTTTGACCAAACAAACAGGCCTTAGAGCTTTTTATCATATTTCTTCGGCAATTTCAAGATTTGTATGGAGGAAATGGGATGCGCAAATTATCTTATGTAGCATGAGTTTTCAACACCCAATTTTTTTCCAAAAATAAACCCAAACTAAAACTTGAAATGAAATAGCCCAACTCCTAAATCCTATGGGACATAGGCCAATTTCCAGACCCCAATTTCTCAGCCTGTTTTGGCAAAACAAACAGGCCCTACAACCCTTTGATTTTTAGGGTTGGTGTGGATAACCCCTTGAACTTTTTGAATTTGAATTAATGCCCCTAAACTATGGAGTATCTCATAAAAACCCCTCATCTTTACACTTCTCTCAACAAATCCTCCCGTCGTCTTTGGCCGAAATGTGAAATGGTTAAAATATTTTTGGGGAAAAATAGATTTCTAATTCCAGTTAATCTCATTAAACAATGTTTTTCGGTATGAAGAATGAAGAAGTGACTGAGAAAAGGATTGCGAAAATGTTTTACCCAAATAATAAACGAAAAGGAAAAGAGGATAATTTGTTAAATATCGAGGGATATGATTATTCTTAGTCACATGCTTGTCATGTGACATGTTTAAAAGTATTACCTTGGGGGTTAGAAAAGTTTAGTGTGGTAAAAACGTATCAAAAAATTTCTTGGATTTATCTATAACACCACTAAGGGGTCAATAAATTAGTTGCGAGGGTTTTCTAAAATTAATCAGTGAACTTCTACATGCTAATTAGCACTAAAATACCTTATGGTTTCTCATACTTCATACTCAACTCATATATCCTCAATTATTTTTGGCATTTTAGGTTACATTTTTAAAATTAACACATTATTATTTTCTGTTATCCAAATGTGAGAATATTCTCATATATTTCCACGTGACACCTTCATTCTAGTTGTTGAAACTATAACCCTTTAATGTTCATTAAATTTTATTTACATTTTAGAAGGATCACTTAACCTTTTTTTAAAGTTTGTCAAATAGCTTCCTAACTAACATAATTCAATCTAGTTGTGCATGAAAATCATGATGTCCAAACAACCAAGATGTCTTCAATAGAAAAAAAAGTTTAATGACCTTTTATAGTTATAAAGTAAATGTTACAAAATATTTGATCCAATTTTGAGATAACCCTCTCTAACATGAGCCCCAAAACGGTCTCTCTCCCCCCTCCCTCTGTTACTAGTGGCTATTTTCCCCTCTCTCTCCTCCCTAGTTAAGGTTAAGGATTTGATTAGTGGAGTTATTATTTATAAAATAAAAAACGGTTTGAGTAGGAAAATTTGAAATTTAGAGCGTTAAAAAAATGATACTTTAGCTCTTTTTACCGGTTCACCTAACGCCGTTAAGGAAGTTATTTGCAAATGTCTGGGGCTTCCTAAGCACCAAAAATTTAAGAGATGTTAAATGAAATTCACCAATTTTTTTTACAAAACCACTATAAAATATATTGGTTTTTAGAGAACCATCATGATATTTTATTTTATTTTAGTAGAACCACCATGAAAATATGCATCTGCAACAAAGTTCCACCAAATCATAATTTTGCGTCTATATCATGTTAAATACTATGTTAAATTCCTAAAAAACCCTCATGGTGGAGCCCACGGATTTATTATTATATTTTCTCATACGACAAAATATTTTATTTCCCTCTGAAATGTTAAGTCGCTCTAAAAACTTTTAATTCCCTCCATATACCCCCACTCTCTAAAATTTTGTCATAATGGGCATTTATGTCATTTCATACTATTATTTAACAAAATATTGATGTAAACTATAACCTGATGGGACTTTTTAATAGACTCATATTTTCATGGTGGTTCTATGGAAAAATAAAATTTTGTGATGGTTCTCCGAAAGACCGCTATATTTTGTGATGTTTTCTTAACTCTAAGAGGGTGTTTGGTTGCATTGTTTTTGAGAAATGTTTTTTTAAAAATTACAAACAATGACATTTCTGTAATTAAGAGTTTTCTATAGATTTCTACAAACTGTGTTTGGCTCAAAAAAGATTTACAGAAATGTTTTCTGTAAAGTATAGAAAAGTACCAAAATTTATAGAAATTGATTTCCTTCTAAAATGGGCGAAAATCTCTTGGAAATCTTACGCATTCATTATTTAAATAATAAAACTCATTAACACTTTTCTATAAAGTTCTCACTTTTCTATAAAGTTAGTGGTGTTTGGTTACATTCCTATAAATTATAGGAAATGTTGCTATTTTCCCAAAAGTTATGAGTCGTTTTCTTGCTTTGAACCAAACAAGCACAATAAAAAAAATAAGAAAATTTGTACTTTTTAACTTCTCAAAACTTTTCCTATAATTTTTTTAAGAAATACAAGGTTTTAACTTCTCAAAACTTTTCCTATAATTTTTTTAAGAAATACAAGAAAATCAAATTTTGGATGGAAAACATTTCCTATAATTTATAGAAATACAAGAAAATCAAATTTTGGATGGAAAACATTTCCTATAATTTATAGAAATGTAACCAAACACCCCCTAAAGGGGGATTCATGAAATCGGCCAACTTAAAGGGTGATTTGTGAAATCCACCCTCTTTTAACTCTAGTGATAAAAGAGTAAATAATGACTGTACGGTTCCTGTACAGGATTAAACATATGGACTGCTGTGAAGTAAAAGACCCGTGATGGCGCTGACGCCTCTTTTGCAGTCTCGGCCACAGAGCTTTACTTAGCATGGCGACGGTCAAGCCCGCTTTCCTTGTCGACTAATTCTGGCAAAAAAGTTGGTAATTTTGATCATCCTCTTTTAATTATGTTTATGTTTTTGCTAATTTGGTCTATACAAGAAATAGTCTATATTTATGTCCAAATATTGCAAAAGTTGCCCTCCAAATCTCACTATTTGTAATATTATTCTTAAATTCTCTTACATTGGATTTTTCTACCCCTCCAACTTAACAATAATCCTTTTAAATAGGACAATGTAAAAAAAAAAAATTCAATAATTTTCAATAGGTTTACAATATATCTTTTTAAATACTAAGATTGTCAAGTGGAAGGGATAAAAAAAACTTAATGTGGGAGCATAAAGGAAATTTTTTGAAAATACCAAGATTTGGAGGGCAAATTTGCAAATTTGCAAATATGAAAGGTTTGAATAATATACATATATATATGTGCACAAACTCCTTATTAGAATCTTTTATTTTCCAATAGGTTTACAGTATTTTTTTTTTTAATACTAAAATTGTTAAGTTGAAGGGATAGAAAAACTCAAAAGTGGGAGAATAAAGGAAAACTTTTGCAAATACCAAGCTTTGGAGGGCAAATTTGCAAATATGGAGGATTTAAGGGGCGTATATATGCAAAACTCCCTATTAGAATCTTCACTCCTGGTGATCCCATAGTATTTCATTCACAAATCACAACATTTTAATCAATGATTTCATGGAATAGACGTCGGTATTCTGTTCTTTAATCATACAAAGTGTTCCTTGATGATACAAACTGACATAAAAGCTATGACATCTGATTCTGACCTAAATTATCGATCCCTCTCAGAAATCATGCACTATGAATGAGATTTGGCTTACAATGGCAAATGGCAACGCCCATAATACAATCAAAGAATCGAACCCCAAAGAATCATGGGCGTATTTTACCAGATTCTCGCATGTGTATTGAACTGTAACAATGACGAGCATGGCCCTACAAAAAATATTTCATCCTGTCATCTCTTCTCATTGCATTATATACAGCTTGGACCTGAAAAGGAGAGGCCAAATATGTAGTCAGAAACATGGTATGTTTTAGGTTTGGTCCTTACACGTAGGAAAGAGAGCTTCGGCAAGAGTCAAATTTAGAAATACGCTAGATGTATTGGTAATAATAAAAATACCTTGAGAATCATGTTGCAATTAAGTTATGCATACTTTATTTGCTTAATTTCTCACGTTTTTTTTTTTCACTTCATCTGCTTAATTTCTCACATTTTTCTGTTTATTCTTTTGAAAAATAGCTTTTTAAAAAAATTAACTGGCTTGAATAATAAATCAGGTTGCTCGAGTTGGTAACTTAGGTCGTGTCCCACTGCGAATATGGGACGATTGAACTCGGGTCGCGGTCTGCTATAGCATCCCACATTCCCAACATCTGTGATCTAAACCTTGTACTTGGCCTAAACTTTCAACACAACAAAACACTTCAATTTTTGTAGAAACCTTCCGTTGTCATAAATTAAGCAGGATGAACATGGTCGTAATAAATAGGATTAACTTAGAGAGTTACTTGCAATTAGTAGTAGTACAGCTAAAAGATAGTCTTCTGTAACCCATCTCATTTTTTTTGCACTGAATTTTAACTGTTTGCACGAGTTTTATGTACCATTTTCACTGATACAAAATTGGTACCAAGAGGTGTCATGTTCTGCTTCCTCCCTACATGAGACATAAAGATAAAAGTTAACATCTAACTAAAGTTGAAATTTAAATGTATGAGCTGGTTCTCCTCCGCTCTCTTGATGTGAAGAAGGTTTCTTTTGCTCAAGTGTATTAAGACATCGTGAATTACTTTTAAACTAAGATACTTCACATGGTCAGTGTAAATAGAGTCTGAAATTGAATATCTGGAAGGATTTTTGATTTCATACATTATACATCTATCTCTTCAACACACTAAAAAGCTTATTTATTCCCCAAAAAGTGGACTTACAACAGTAGTTACAGTTTGCAAATAGGTACTGTCGTTGCTTAAAAATTTTTAGGAGGTGAGAATCTCATATATTTGTGACCATCCCTTGTATAGACTTACAAAAAGAAATTAGGGTTGTCCAACACAACTAGAACAACAAATTTCTGCGATAAAGCATGGAAGAATTTTTTTTATATGGATGCAGAATAGCCAAAGAATACCTGCTCGCTAGACACCACACGAATTGGTCCAATATTAACAGAGACATACTTCCCCCTTGACGATACTTTTTGACTAATTTGACCCTGGCCAGAGCACAAGATAAATGTAAGATTTATAACCTGTAAAGTACAGACAAGTAGCACAATAAACAATGATATCAATAAATTAAGAGACGGCATGCTTGCTGGAAGGAAGCTAACATGATAACGAATAGGGAAAAACATGTTCAACCTGTTTGATAAACAAGTTAAACCCCAAGTGGGAGAAGGTGAATTTGCTGATTGTAACTGGTAAAACTAGTGATTTGCTTATATTGGAGGATTTTTTTATTTTTTATTTTTTTATTTTCTTATTTTTTTAAGGAATACTTATATATATTGGAGGATTTACTTTGGTCAGTACGCGCTCAAAATATTCAGGAATCTCCATAAAGTTCTGCTTCAACAAGCAACCATAAATCTAAGCGGAAGAATATCAGAAAAGTTGACTCATATAGACACAGAAAAAATGAGAATTGCTATGTCCATATTTCCAAAGAAATCTAAATCTTAGACAAATCCTTAACATTTGGTCCTATCCAAATAAACTTAAAGGTCCCCGATATCCAGATCATATTGAAATTTCTTTCATATGCCTGGAGAGCAGACCTCTTATCACCCCTATCAGTGATATCTTAGAAATTGATGGATAAATTTGTTAAAAAGGGTTTAACGAGGCACCTGTTAGGAAAGTTTCAGCTATGCATAAGCATAACAATAGAAGAGAAATGCTCATCTTAAAAAAATTGTCCATACTCCATGCAGTATAACGCATTGCATTTTGTGGATCTTTTCTTCCTCATACGAGTGTTGCATTCTCATGTATGTAGTCAATAAAATAAACTGTTGCACAATCTCCAAAGGAATATTGCTATAGTGATAACTAACTCTTTAGAAGGCTTACACGTATAACTTTAAGAGATCAGTTAGAACTGATACTCATAATTGTAAGATTCTGCATTATATGGACTAACAAGTTTTATATTTAGAAATATTTTAATAAAACATCACTGAACTAAAATTTTGCAATTAACATAGGGACGTTATACCTTCGGGATTGGCTCCTGAAGTACAGATTCAACAGCAACGACCATCGCTTGGACAAAATCATCACCTCCAGTTCCTATTGCAGTGAACCCTCTGACCATTGGATATGAATTCACCTGAATGATCAACAACACAAACAGAAAGGTTAACATTCATGACTCCAATATTAGAAGATATCTAATGAATCAAATTAGCAATTTTTGGTACTAGAATTATCTAAGCGGCCTTAACTGGCCGACCCACAAAGAGAAAACCTAGAGTGTGCTGGCTGGACAGTGAGATAGTCCAGTAAGTCTACAACCATTCCCGATATTGATTACTTTTTTCATATTGCAAACTATAAACAAAAGAAAAATAATAATAAGTGAATTATCTAAGATGTCTTTTTAAGGGGACAGATTTACTTCCAGTTGCATAATAATAACTAGAGCCACCAAGAAGTGATTGTTTCTTTCTAAGATGTCTTTTTAAGGGGACAGATTTACTTCCAGTTGCATATAGGCATATAACCAAAGTCAGCCCATACAATGAGAAATTCTCCAATATCATACGTACAAAAACAGAACTGAACAAGAAACCCTATGCAGAAATGAAGAAAACATGCCAAATACCTTCTGATCCAGTTCAAGCCATTCATTAGTAGCATCATCTGTCACTGTTCCACCAATTATAACATTTGTGGTTTGTGCCACTCTTCCCTCAGTCTTGGACACTTCTGAATTAGGCAACACAGTAAGTTCAACGAGAAAGAATAAAAACAGTTTCAAGTCAGAAATACAGACTTTAAGCCCTGAGATAGCTACAAATCTAAGCTAATGCTTTACAGTAAACATCCTAGATAAGATGAAAGGCTTACAGAAGAAATTCAACATGTATCTATGAAATGGAGAAAATCCATGTCATCTATATTCTAACACTCTTATGTTAAACAAGTATAAAAATCTGGTAATATATTTGTTGTATCGCAGAACTAATAAGTTTTTTTGGATAAATAACCCTTAAATCATGTGTATTTGCAAAACTATCCCCAAATATCAATAATTGCAAAAATACCACTCAAACTATCACCTTTGGAAAAAGATATCCACAAATCAACAAATCAACAAATCATCAACTTTGATAGGCTAATTTGTACACAATAAAAGGAAAAAAGTCCAAAGCTGATCATCTGGAAGCTCTGCAAATACTGAGATTTGGGTTGGTTTTGCAAATACGCAAACGACTTAAGGGGTATGTACATAATACACAATGAATAATATTTACAATTGAGATTGTCTATACAGAACTTCATGTCGTGATTCCAGAACACAGGTGGAAAGATTTCAAGCTCAATGGTACATAGAAGGATGGACAGATGGGTGGATATTTCCGGTGCACCCTAGAGTGGCGTGGCTCTGGGGTCGAGCAGTGCATATGAGATAGGGGAAGAGACTGAAAGTTAAAGAAATAAATGTCACAATGACATGTCTATCAAGGGTGAATGATAGTACATGCATGACACCTTTGCATCCATATTGGTCACCAACTCATACGTGTGTTATATGCACATAGGAAATCACATGGTGCATGTGTGCGTGCGTAGGGGTGGGTGAGTGTGTGTTAACAGTAAGGAACTTTGAAATAGTACACAGAGGTTACAGATCATCACATATCATTAGGATGTCAAATCATTATTATTATTAGAGTTAAGAATATTAAGATTGGCATTTAAAGTTAGCTATAAGTTTTCTACCCATGGAATTTGATATAATTTTTCTACCCAATCAGATTCTGAAGATGTTCCCTACTTTAGGCTAATTCTAACTAAAATAATCAGGCCCAGGGTTATTCTGTATATTCTTACAGGTAACCTTGCAGTAGAAAAAGCAATGGGAATTCTGACTCGTATGATTTGAGATGTCAATTTGGAGATATTAAGATTTCAGCTGTCAATAGGACAACATGGAAGAATTGGAGAACACTAAGGGCCTATTTGTTTCGTAAAAAAAAAATGCAGAAAGTGGGGGAAAGAAAATTTATATAGGTGAATTTTGATATTTTCCTTCACTTTCAGATGTTTGGTTTGTCAAAGCTATAAAAGAAAGTTAGGGAGAAAATGAGTTGTCACCATATTATTGGATGAGATGAGTAATTTTTGATGTTTTCCTCCACTTTCCTTGTTTAGGTTCTTTTCTTGTGTTTGGTTCATTCCTAAAACTAAGAAAATAGATTAGAGAAGATGAGTTGTCATTATATTATTGGATGATGTGACCCATACTTAGGAAAATCAATTTTCTTGTTTTTTTGGAGGAAATGGATGGAAGAAAAATTTTAATGATATGGGATGAGTTGTCATCATATTATTGGATGATGTGAGTAATTTTTAAAGATGGTAGAAAATGAAGGAAAATGGGGTGAGGTGAGTTGGATGAGTTGATTGATGTGACACATTTTTTGTGTTTAGTTTATTTTTAAAAGTAAGAAATGAGATGAGATGAGTTGTCACCATATTATTGGTTGATGTGGGAGATTTGTAAGGATGGAAAATGATGAAAGTGAAGAAAAATGATGAAAGTGAAGGACAATGAGTTTTGGAAAATAAAGGAAACGAGCCAAACAGGCCCTAAGGGGAAAATCCTTTCCAGACTATAGTGATGGAGGTTCAAGTCTTTGTTAAAGAGTGGGCTTACAATTTTGCTCAAGGTTCAAGAAATGACACAACAGGATAGGAACATTTTTTGACTTAGTGACACTAAAAAAAAACTAAAGAAGGTTTATAGAGTGTTTCTGAACACAATCACGTAGGCAGTAGAAATGAGTCTTGAACAGGTAGAAAAACAACCAGAACACATAATTAAGATGAGTCATGTTGGTTACTTTGCTAGGAATTCAATCTAACATCCTATTTCACATTTCTTTTTGGTCAAGTGTGTCAGAGATTTGTAAGGAACGTATCGTAGAGCATAAATTTAGAAGAATGTAGTGAAGTCACCCTATCAACAAGTGTAGGCATTATTTTGTGCTCACGGTAAATTATTCCCCTATCTCTTCTACAGTGGTCATTTAGAGCTTTCTTAGAGGCTTGCAAATTAGAAGAACATGTATGTTTATTACGATCCTAAAGATTTCAATTGTGTTCATGTGAGCAGCTCTATTAACAACAAAGTTTCATAAGTGAGGCTATCTGCTTGTTTGGCAACTTACTTATTTCTTCTTCTAAGTAATATTTTCCTTCAAGAGGTTGGCAATGTTGCTTGTGATTTAAATAAATGGAGATTGAGCGGAGACTCTACTTAAGACGAACTTGCAATTAGAATGAGCGAGAAATATGATAAGTATTGGGAAAGTTGGGAGAAGATGAATATGTTGATTTATGTAGTTGCTCTTCTTGACCCTTGAAACAAAGAGGATTTTATGCAATTTATACTTGAGCTTACATATAGTGAGATTGGAAGTGTTAAACAACTAAAATTTATCGAGAATGCAACATTTGAATTATTTAATGACTACACGGTCAAATATGGAAGTCAAACAAATGCAAATGGGCAAAGTGGTGCATCAGCAAATAATATTGATATTGAAGATAGTAATCAAGTGACTGGTGTAAGAAGTCAATTTACGAGGCTGACAGCTGTAAAGGGAAGTGCAGAAGCAAAGTCGGAATTGGAGAGTTTCTAAGCGAAGACATTGAAGCCGATGGAAATAATTTTTGATATTTTAATTTATTGAAAATTACATAGTAGAAGATTTTCAATCCTCTCGTGAATAGTTCGTGATATATTGATCGTGCCTATCTCGACGGTAGCTTCCGAGTCCGCATTCAGTACAGGTGGTCGGGTTCTCAATCCTCTTGGAAGTTCATTGACTCCAAGAATGGTTCAATGCCTCATATGCACACCAGGCTGGCTTCGGGTGACGTTGGCGATGCCGGGATCCAACAAGATTTGTGTTGAAGAATATTTAAACACACAAGAAGTTGGACACGGTTATCATCTATTTTTAAAATTAAATATATTATATATTTATATGTTATGTTATTTTTAATTAATTTGTTATGTTTTATTTGGCTTTTAGATTTGAACAAGCTTGCAATTGAGTCAGCTATCAGTGATATGTAGCAAATCAATCCATTGAAGAACTTTGGTAGGTAAGAAGTGTACGTATGTATGTGTAATTGTACATAAATTTTTAGCAAGTTCTACTTATAACATTTTAATATTTTATTTTTACAGATTGAACTTGTAAAGGAGGTGATAAGCTACTGAACTGAATGACGAAGTTGTGATGTGTTTGGATCTCTTAAGAGTTAGAGCTACATAAACTTAATAATTGTTAAAATTTTAATCTTTTTTAGATCTCTAGATGAATTTTGAATTTATAAGGCTTATTCAGCGTTATATTTTAGTTTTTTATTGTTCCTTCATGAATCTTCTGCAATGGGGAACACCGTTGTCAGAATCACAAGTGCCTTGAGTTCATGATTATTATTGCTATTTGCTATTTGTTAAGCATGAACTGTATACATTTTACTGTTAAAGAAAGAAATATTTCTACAATGAGTGAGTACTACTATGAATATGCATGAAACATTACTGTCTTGAATATTGATACAAGACAAACCATTCATTTGCAATGTCATAAAATGAGAATGGGGTGTAACTACTCTTTTTATGGTTGCACTCATCTTTATAAACTCATTAACCGATCTGAACCGAACCAGTTCTCATCGGTGCTGTTCGATTCACGTAGCTGATCAGTGCGGTTTCGGTTGACCAAAAAGTTGGCCAACAACCTACCGACCGATTGCTCAGCCCTACCTGGGAGCACATTTTGTTAAATCAACTACGACGAGATGGAGTAATCGTTCGTGAGACTCCTACTAGTCAGATGACTCGCACCGGGGCAAATAGATCAATCGCTCCTATCTCTTAACAAAATCATGCTCGTCACTTCAGAGCATATGGAGTTCTTACGAGCTCATTTCGCTGAATGAGCTGCCAACCCATCCTCAGCATTCCATAAATATGCAGATACACACATTTATTTATGTATTTATTTATTTAGTTACTCATGAATTCGTAGCATTGCACGTGAAGTATAAACTTCAAATGATGTTAGCTCATTATTTCTAAAAATTCCCAATCTTTTCCCCGCAGTCGAAAACATTTATTAGGCTACAATCAAGCAACACACAAGAATCAAAGACAACGAAGGAAAGGATGGGGGAGAATCGGAGGTAATCACCGGAAATAGCCTTGAGAACAACCTCCTGCGGCGGGCTTTGCTCCCCGTCCTGCTGAGGAGGAGGGGTGTTTTCGCCATTGGAGGAGGAGGAGGAGCATCGCAAGGGGACGGAGGAGCGGAAAACCCTAACCCTAGATCGATGGCGGGAAAATACCGAAGCGGAGGAGAAGGAGGAGGAGAGGGCAGCGACGCGATTGCAGGGGGATAATAGCACGGCGGAGCGCATGATTACAGTTCTGCACGCCATTTTTTTTTTCTTTCCTCTTGATTTTTGTTTATTTTTTCTGGAATGGGTTTGTGGTTATTGAGCGCTTTATCGCGAGAAAGTAAATTAAAATTGAATTCTTTCTTTTCTTTTCTTTTCTTTTTTTTTTTTTTTGAAAAAATAGTTTTGTCCGATTTCGATGGAGTTCTATGAATTTCTCGTTCTCTCTTTTCTTTTAACTTTTTTTCCCCTTCTTCGTTGTCTTGTTATGAGAGTAGAAAGTTAGGAAATACAAATGGAAAATGATAGAGGCACACCTTAACCACACCTCCAACCACACCCCCCTCTCATTTGCTTCAGTGCACCGGGCTTTACATGGGATTTTAAAATTTTAAAATCTCATGTGGGACCCGGTGCACTATAGCAAATGAGAGGGGGTGTGATTGGAGGTGTGGTTGGGGCTGTGCCCCTGGTGTCACCCAATACAAATGGCTTTAGGGGGGTGTTATGTCAAAAAATTACTAGGAACTATGCACAAAAGTACGCATAAACTTAATTTTATCAAAGAAAAATATAACAAATTCAAAATGTTAGACCGACAAACAGTAAAGTTGATATGTCCGTTGCATCTATTCTTTTATACAAATGGGAGAAACAAAGAGTCACTGTTCATGCTACAGTAGCAGCTCGGGAATGGCACTGTAGCAGGCGAGTTACTGTAGCACCCCAGAAAATTCAAGCCGGGAGAGTTTAAAAACGGCGGGAACACTGTAGCAAAAAAAAAAACACTGTGCTGCGCACGGGCTGCACACTAGTGTTTAAGAATTCTTACTTCATCTATTCTCTATCTTCTTAACTATTAGTAATATTTTAGAATTTTTAACAGGCTAAATAACACTTTAAATGCCTTGTAGTTTCGCCCTACTTCACACTTACACACCCACGTTGTAAAACTTAGAAATTTACTACCCAGACTTGTTTTCCTTTCCTATCTACCCAAAAAAAAAAAAATTATGTTGGCATTGCTACTTTTCTGCAGATTTAAAGGCTTGTGTAGGTTTGAAATGTCATTGATACTTTTCTGCAGATTTAAAATGCTTTCGATTTTTTTATTTTATTTTTTGCAAAACCCCAATAGTTCATGATACCTTTGTGAAATTTGTTTTTCTAAGTCAGTCTGTTTATTTGAATAAATATTTTCTTTGTACTCCCATGTTTTTTTTTTTTTTGTAATTTTACTCATTCGTAATTTGATAGATATTGAATCATATTGTGCTCCGAGTTTATCAGATAATCATATATATCTAAAGTAATACTAACTACACTACGAGACTTGCATTGCTCTTACTACAACACACAAAATACAAGGCACGTAGAAACTCATGATTTCTCACTGTAATTTACAAGGAAGGATTCAATATTCTTGAATCATGTGACACAAGAGTGGCAAAAAAAATTACAATTATTTATTGTTCTATTATTGAAAGAATTATCTTTGACATATTAAATTTTGATTATGTCGGAGATTACAGGGTTGACGTAGGAAAGCTCACTAGTTTGCAAATTTGAAATAAATACCTCTGATCATCAATATTTTCAGGAATCCTACATCGCAGAGAGCAGCCTTTTCCATTGTTTAGAAAGATGGAATTCAACTACGAAGTGTCTTCTCTCGTTACCATTAGTGATTGTAATCCTTTAAAAGCTCGCTGCTCTCTTTAAGTAATATATAAAAATTAATTCTCTTCTCGGTTATAATCTCTCTGTTTTTTTCTATAAACATTCGGTTTCGTTTGAATTTCTTATAATTTTGTCATATATTTTCTATACTGAAATGAAAAGCATGCTAATTGTTAAAATATACCTCTAAACATTGTTGTAAAGAACCTCCTCTAATTGCTAGGGAGGGAATTAGCTGTAAAATGTGAAATCTTTCTCCTAACAATAAATAATCTCTCTTCAATTAATCATGTACTTATTTGTACTCAATCTTTGCATGATGAAGCTATACAACTCAACCATGTTAAGCAGTGGGAAAATATCGGGAGAAAAGGTCATTTTATCATCTCAAACAGCTGTTAATATGATCACACTAGACCAACATCACTCTAAGGTAAACAACAGTTAAGTCACATTCTCAGGCTCTTTATCGATTCGGTAAATTTATTTGGGTACAAGCTTGAGCAGATGATATACCAAAAGATATGCAGAACCCATAAAGCTAAGCAAAGGATTTTCCCAAGGAGCTTTAGATAATAGAATCATCTGTATATATTCCATACTACAAGAAATGCCTGAAACTACACACGATCACTCCTCATGCCGCAAAGCCTCAAGTTCAGACATTATCGGGAAAGTTCAGAAAGAATTGTAGAAGCAGCAGCGGACAAATCTGCTCATATTGACAGGATCAGCTTACATATAAGATATTGACATGTACTTTCTCGACAAAATTGATGTTTACTGCCTGTATTAAAGGGAAAAATCATTGGTTTTCTCTTGTCCCTTTTTTTTAAGTTCAACTTGGGAGCAGGAATACCATTATGTGGAATGATTTTTCAAAGAAGAAAACTCGACATTAACAATCATATAAGGAAGGCAACCATATTAGCAGACCTATGCTTAAGCTATGTTTCGCTGTAAACATGGCATTAGTTTTCAGCTGTTATTCAATTCAGATGAAAAAAAGAATATTTTAGGTTGGCAGTGCATGTAGTCTCTTACAATTTTAATATATGGTATCTGCAAAATTAAAACTACATTATCTGTAAAATTCTGAGCAGTGTTCAATTCAAATGATATTGGAACATTAGGTCGGACCAACAGAATTTTACAAGTAATACTAGCCTAAGTTTAACATATGCATGTAATAAAATTTTAGCGGAGTACATACAGTGCAAACCTGTACATGCTATGTATTTGGTGTCACCTCGTCACAGAATTAGTAAACATGAATACACGCATCTACTTGATTTTCTGACAACATTGTTGAAGATACACTGAGTAAGTTAATTCAAAGCATATTGTAAATACTCCACCAAGAGAGTCTATATCCAAAATTTTCACTGCCGACTACATGATATCATTCAGTTATGTTAAGGTCATCCCGAATTTGCAACTAAAT